TATGAAACCTCTAACAATTAAAATACACGCCATCGTGTTGGGATTCAATATTTCGACATTAATTATGTCATCATCTGCTATGATGATGACATAATTAATGTCGAAATATTGAATCCCAACACGATGGCGTGTATTTCAATACTTGGAATATGTATTATACTTTCTTATAAACTTTGTAGTTATTAATATTTTGGTTATAATAGAAAATATTCATTTTTTGATGATGTCACACACACATAGTTAGCATGCATACGTCATAAGCTAGATACGTCACCTTTTCCCCCAAACTTTCCCGGTGGCGTGCTTTTTTCATGGATGGATAAACAAACACCACTGCTTTGCACATGGATGCCTTGCCCAAGCCAGGGCTACAAGAGCCGCATTGTTAGCATTGTATAATACTTAAACAAGGTACCTCTGCAAAAGAATTATTCTTAGTTATTTTTTTTTTCTTATTTTAATTTATTTCTTCCGAAAGTGTACTCTCTATCACATATAACTCCACTGTCTTAGTTAGGCCTAGTCTTATGCCTCATTGTCCCCGCTACAGCCCCTCCCCCATACAGTACAGAAGTTTGCTAGGTAACAACGTGATTGCACCTTCCTTCCCAGGTGTTCATGTAACATTGACATAATTGTTAGATAACAAGTTGTGTGTATTTCTTTGTGAAAATGAGTACCGCGGCGTACTCATTTTCACAAAGCATTTGCATCCCCTCTTGGAAAGAAGGATTCGAAATAATTGTCTCCATATCTTCGCTAATTGAATTAATCACCGTAAACACTTATGAATTTAGGGAGCACTTAAAATGTGAAATAATCATTTCACTACCCGACAAACTCTGAACTTTATTCATTCATTAGGCCTTAGTTTAATATTGCTGTACTCTATACTCCAACATCACTGGCGCATGGTAAAAACCAACTGACTGCAGACCATTTCCGGTCACACCTTACTCTCCATAACACAGCACCCCTAGTTCCGTCACCTCTGGATAGCCGGGAATGTGAGTAAACATTGCTGTTGTACGCCACACGATCATAAAATAAATAGAATAAAGGCTAGAAAGAATCGTATTCTTATATTTATTTAGGCCAGCATAAACACAAATACACCATGTCATTTTCAATTGTATAGAAAATGACCAAAATTACCATCTTTGTTTTTTGAGAACTAATAAAATATTGATGCATCTTTCAGGCTAGTATCAGGGTTGCCATTTGGCCTTTTTGACGGCCAGATTCCTCAAATCTGGCCGTATAAAAATTTGCCTGGCCGTAGCATTTGAAAAGTCACGGCCAAACTATATTTGGCCGAATTTTGGAAAAGATTACATTTTTTTTTCAATATAGGCCTAATAGACTTGTTTTGGATATTTTGTTTTTGTTAGCTTAAATTCTATATTTGATTCTAATCTTGTACTTGTTCTTACTTGCACTAGGCCTAAACACTTAATATGTTTCCCGATTCAGCCGATTTGACGTAAGAGAGTTTATTTAAAAGGTAACAGTTACATTTAATAATTTAAATTGTTCGGATGAAATATTTTGTTTATGAAGTTTATCCTCGTTTAAGCTTTATGAAGACAGTTCATTGCAAGTTTGTACCATATATTGTGTGCCTTTGTAGGCCTATATGTTCCATCTTAGTAGTGGAGGTTCTATCTCTTTTGAATTTCTTTTGAATATAAATTAAATACTTTAATTAATTTATTATTGCCCACTTGAATTGTATAGCCCGAGGTGCCGCAGTGTTCTTTATGTAGAGCGCCATATATCAATGCTCATTCGGGTCCGATGGCACCTGCAATTTCAAGCAAGGTTTGCTGAGATTTCTTCGAAGTTATTCTGGAGTTGGTTGCATATGAGAATGAAGAAGATAATTCTGATAGCAACATTGATTTATTGCTTTAAGTACTGCGACAATAACATTCAGGGGCGAATTTCGAAATTTTAGATAAAAAGTACTTATAAAAGTTTTCATAGTTTGTTTTAACGCCAGTTTGTGTTACCTAACTATGTAACTTAATTCATTCTAATTAAAGAGAGCCACGGATTTGCCAATAACAGGCCCTTAAAATTTTTGTTATAGATCGACTACAATGTACATTAATATTTAATACATTTAAATCAAATTTAGATAAATCTTAATATTGTGATTTTAAATAGCAGAGGTGGATTTAAGGAGGAGTGGTAAAAAAAGAAAAGAAAAAAAAATGATCGCCCAAACGCATCAGAGGTTATTTCCGGGCGTCTAGAAAAGACAAATTTCTTCTAAGATGGTGTTATATCGATCGGACACACTTTCGCCCCCTCCTCCTCACCTTTTCGGACGGACATCTCTGGATTTGCCCCTGAATTGGCCTGCATGCCAGCAACTAAAGAACATAGGCTATTTATTTTTAACATTGTTCTGTGTACATCATTTGAATTTCTTCAATTTCAAACGAATGACCGCTGATTTTCGTATAATTTTTGTAGTATTTCAAATGAATGTACCCACTGTTGTCTTCTAATCGGATTAAAAATCTGGCCGAAAAAAAAGTAAAGTAAATCCACAGACGTACAGCTACTGTCTTTTTTCATTATTGTCGGATTTTGGTTTCAAACATTTTATGTTTTAAATAATAACATTAGATTCAGAAATTGTGTATACTTTCTGAAATTTGACCATGATTAGAGCAGTGTTGGCTGAACTGTGTCTGATTTTCTCCTACTACCAAGGTCTTGTTTACTCATTGTGAAGGCCGTTTAGGCAGCATGCAGGCAATTAGCAATCAATCATCCAACCCACCAGTTACAGTTTCTTCTAAGGGGAAGAGTTTCGTCATGTCTATGAACCCCTCCGATTGGAAATCCCATCAGGAAACAGACCCCACTATAGCTAGGATTTTATTTTATTTAGATAGGAATTCTCGTCCCAACCCCCAGGAACGACAAGCTGAAAATAAACTAACCCTTATTGCCCTTAAAGAGTGGGACCGCCTTTGCATGCGCGACGGTGTGCTATACCGTTGACGAAAGGACAAAAATGGCCAGGATTGTTTTCAATTGGTCCTCCCTTCTTTTAAACTTAAAGCTTTGAAAGGGCTACATGATGATTTAGGTCATTTAGGGAAGGACCGAACCCTTGATTTAGTCAGAGATAGGCTCTATTGGCCCAAGATGGAAAGCGATGCCTCAGCTACATCAAAGCCTGTGGTAGGTGTATTCGGCGGAAGACACCACCATCAGCCTGTCCCAAAGCCCCCTTAGTTAGCATTATGACAAGTGAGGCCATGGAATTAGTATCCATGGATTACCTTTCGCTAGAAGAATCAAAGGGTGGGTATAATAGCATCCTTGTAATCACTGATCATTTCACTAGATACGCAAAGGCCATACCTACTAAAAATCAAACCGCCGCACTACAGCTCGTGTCCTATTTGACAACTATTTCGTTCATCATGGTTTTCCAGCACGGTTACATTCTGATCAGGGTAGAAACTTTGAGTCTGAAGTGATATCCGAATTGTGTAAATTATGTGGAATTACCAAGTCACATACGACCCCTATCCCCCTCAGGGTAACCCCCAGTGTGAGCGTTTTAATCGCACTTTGTTAAACATGTTAGGTACTTTGACTGATGATGGTAAGGCCGATTGGAAATCTCACGTAGCCCCCTTAGTACACGCGTATATTGCCACTACCAACAGTTCTACAGGATTCTCTCTATATTTTCTTATGTTTGGTCGTCATCCTAGACTCCCTATTGATATTATTTTGGGTCTGGATAAGCAAAATAATGGTTCATCTACCACAGTAACTAAGTACGCAAGCGATATGCAAAACTGCTTAGAAGATGCTTATAAGCGAGCGGCAGCGCAAGCGATCAAATCGACCAGCGCGAATAAAGAGGTGTATGACAGAAAAGCGCGCGATTCTGCTCTCCAAATTAATGATACAGTTTTAGTTAGGTCATTAGGTTTTAAGGGGGCCCATAAGCTTTCTGATAGGTGGGGTAGAACAACATATAAAGTAGTTAAGCGTGTAAGTCCTGATATCCCTGTATATGTTGTACGACCTGATGTTATACAGTAAAAGGCCCTGAGCGAACTCTTCACAAAAATCACCTGTTACCAATTCCGTCTCTCCCCCTTGATGATAATCAGCACCCCAACCGCATGTTACCCGAGTACATGACTCTAACGAACCGAGTACCAGTGGGCTCAGCGATCAACCAAAACCAGCTCCTCGACCTGTTTCCCCGCTCCGCCACCCAGTGCCTGCCCCACGACAACCTTCCCCAGCCCCTCATGTGCCAGTTCCTGATTCTTCTACTTCAGACCCGAGTAATATTCCTCCCGTACCACGCCCTAGAAGAACAACCAAACCCCCTGTAAGATTTTCATATGCTATGTCTGAAAGTAGTTCGAATTCTTGTAATGATGCTAATTTGTTGTTTAAACTCCTAGAAGATGCGTCTAAAGAAGCAGAACGGAATGCATCTCTTAGACGAATGATTTTGCAAACATATGCTTAAATTGCTATTGTTTGATGTTTCTAAAGGATTTTTAGAATTTTTATCTATTTTTGTTACACATTGTAATTTTGTTTGACTTTATTTTTATATTGCTCCTGTTTAATAAATTTGTGTTAATTGATTGTTTCAATCGGCGGATGTTGTTTGTAATTTAACAATAGGTTTTCTGTTACCGTATATGATGTTTTTTTTAACTTGATGATATTTTCCCTTAAGTTTGTTGTTCCCCATTTTGAATTGTTTTTATGCTTTGTCTTAACGGCAAATTTGAGGACTGAATTAGCCCTTCTATTTCCCTTAAGTGTAATGTCGGGACGACATTCGCTAAAGCAGGGGAGGATGTAGTAGGGTGTATTTTTGTGTATTTTTAAGTTAATCTTAAGTACCTTTAAATTTATTCTATATTATTTATTTATATTAATCCACTATCCCGTATCCAAAGAGGGTATACAATGGAATACTGTCTTAGCCTGTATGTTAGAGGTTTCATAAGGTACTTTAGAGGGCGACATCGTGTGTCGTCACTTGTCACGTGATTATGCGTGACATCTTTAGCTTGGGCATTGGCTTGGGTCAGTGGCGTCCTGTAAGCGAGCGGGATTTGATGTGTTTTCTAACCACTCACCTGACATTCTGATCATGTACATTTTATGGTATGTTGTTTCTTCATTTTATGTACGAATTAGCTTTATATAAATGATTACATATGCAGTGTTATATGTATTTGGACAATATAGTGATAGTTTCTGTATTTAGTAGGTATAGCCTTGGTAATGAAGATTATACGTTTTGTATCTTCTGCTTTATTTCATTTGTTTGTTAATTAACTTTCTTATTCAATTTATTGCTTAGCTATAATGCACAAGATCATTGTTTTATTATGTACTAGTTACAGTTTGTAGTGATGAAACTACAGTATTTATAGTGCAGAACTATTGTGAACCTATTGTGTATCCTTTACAAAGTTAACGAGTTCCACTTGTTGTAAAGGTACTTTGTCTTAATTAGTTCGTACCCCACTGTGCGAATCTAGCGTGGGTGCTCTGATAATTTGCGACCGATGCTTGTGTCAAAGGTCAAATTCAATGTAAACAAACATGGCTGCGCCCATAGGATTACGGTAGTGAGGCTATCGAGATTGCATAAGCGTTTCGTTAGCATTGATTATTATTACAGTATACAATTATATATTGTTATGATTTATTTTACATGACTGTTATCTAGCTTCTTTATTATGACACGTTTATATTATAAGCCTACTGAAGTTTGATTTAGTATGGTTATATGGTCATTTCTTTAGCGATTGTAATTGTACTTGCTATCCGTAGTTACTGCTACATGATAATATAGTTCTGAGAAACTATTACTGTTACTATGTCGATTATGGTATAAGTATATAAGAGTATTATCAATGATATTTATTTATATGCTAGATGGTGTACAGTACTACTTTGATGTGTACTAAATTTGGTCGCTGATGTTTGCCGATCAGTTTGTATTGGATAGTTGCGCCATAGTTCTCGTAAGTGTTCACTATGCATGAACCGATACTATTCTATGTGTAGTTAATTATTTGCCTAAGTTTTGTAAGCATACATCATACTGTACTGGAATTGAACATTAAGGAATCTAATTTAATCTATGACGTTACATACATTACGATATCTGTATGTTTGTTTATGCCATTTGATTTGATATGTTCTTATAATGGCTGACTATAGATTTTATAATTACTGGAATGCATTGCTTCATATCATTGTATTATTTTACTATTCCATATTACATGACTGATTTGATCATACTCTATTTTTTATGCTTAGTTACCAGACTACAGAGAGACTCAATAAAGTTTACCGTGATAGTATATGGTTGTTTGGGTATTTCTACTGTCTGCGTTGGGTGATTGTGGCGCCCTCTTCCAAACCTAAACCGTTGATTGTAGAATCAACGACACTGTAGGTTAATGACCCACTGAACATTCCATTTCCTATAGTCAAATAGATACCACCAGCTAACCCTCTCCCGAGAGTTGGGTGGTATGCTGTCGACATACCTGAGGAAGTGTAGGAAACATCTGGTCAACATCAAATGATTTATTACCGGACACAGGAAATCGGGAATGGACAGTGACTTTGGGTGTTGCCTGAGGCTAAAGGACCAATGATAATTGAATATTCGAATGAGTAGGGTGGAGCCAGATCCCCTACATATACCCAGAATATCCAAGGAAACGAGGAGAACCGGAAAGAAGGAGAAAGACACACTGAGAGATCCCGATCGGAACTCCAGCACACAAAAGTATAGTCCTAATAGTAGGATAGACTTAAGATAAATGTGCATTTTCTTCAGAAAGCTGTTGACTGGAAACCTTCCTGAATTAAAAAAGAAGAAGAATTACTACTCTTTTGGTTTCACTATTTTCTTGACGTGGATCAGGACAACAGTTTGATTTGCTGTAACAAATACCGGTACCAAGTGCAACCAGACGATTGCAAGTGGAAGCGATTTTGGACATCTTCCGGAACTGAACTTTGTTATATCATTGGAACTCGCTGTTTTGCTGTATATTCTGAACTCTATTTTTATTGGACTAGCATTTATTATTATTTTACTTTCTACAAGCGTACGCTGCATTGCCGACGGTCTCACGTGAGTAGTTTGTTAGGTTAGGTTAGGTCCAATTTATAAGTCCCTATTTCTAATCCCCATTGCCCAATAAATCATTATTAAGTATATAACTAGAAAAGGTTCCTCTTGTTTTATTTGTGGCCATATATGTAAACATCTACCGACATGAGCCTGCGCGTAACTGGAACCCGAGCCCCCACGATGAATTAAGTGACGGATTCGCTTACTTCAAGTAGTGGTCACCCGCTACATATAT